GTTATTTTTTATTTCCTGGGTGACTTTCGCTGGATTTCGCAATTAATTGCCATTATACCCAAATTTATTTCCAAGTTATACAAATCACAATGGATGCTTTTAATTTTAATTTCGGCCCGGAATGTTTTTAATTTGGTCACGCAGTCGACCTGATTCTAAAATAGTATATGTTGGGCCACTGTCTCTAGGAACAAAGTTGAAAAATATATATATATATATATATATATATATATATATATATGTGTGTGTGTGTGTGTGTGTGTGTGTGTGTGTATATATATATATATATATATATATATATATATATATATATATATATCGTAAAGGAATCTACATATATAGATCCACATGTATATGTGCGTATGTGTGTGTTTATGTGGGTGTACGTGCCATGACCTTTTAGTACGTTGACGATCACGACTCTCCACAATTTCCTCTATTTTTCTGCTCTAAATAATTATTGTTTCTTTACGACGCCAGTTTGACTTGCTTGTTCGGCCATACGTTTACCTGTCAACTATATTATTTGCTACCTTTTCCGACTTCTTTTTCTTTTCATGCGCTCTTTCAGGCTTAAATTCTCCTAACCTTCTTTCCTCAGTGCGAATCTGATGCTTGAAAAGATCATTTCCTTGTGCCCGACTTCATTTCGTGATAAATTAACTCAAAGGTCATATCTAAATTTGGATCCGCCACTCTACTCGGCTAAATCCATTTATTTAACATATGTTGAAATATGCTATTTTATTCCAGCTTTTCACGACATTTAACTTCGTTATTGAAGTTGACGGCGCTTACACGGAATCTAGGCTAAAACAAACTAATTTAGCTGCAGACAGCACGACATATGGCCAGCCGTTTGCTACGACTATTGATGGTCTTGTTGAACATATGTTGAAATATGAGAATAAGGTTCTCATTGCTGTAATTAATTTTCGCACGGTGCCGTTGTTAAATACTTGAATTCCGTCGTCAGCCCTGAACTGCAAATAGAATCAAAGTATCTGAAGCCAGCTCGCATCTTGTGATAAGCGGTAAGATTAAACTGATGGTCAACAGCTAGAGCAAAAAAGAACCGGCAAGGCGAGTTCAAATACCAGCTAAGGCAGTGTACATCCACTTTGCACTAATTTTCTTACGAAAGTCATGAGACCACACTTCCCTAAAATAGTGAGGCAGACTGGGTTGTTTAGACTTGGTTAGCAACTTCTCTAAGAAGTCTATTCTGATTTAGTTTGATTTGCGACATACCCTTGCGCAAATTAATCGAAACAATCGCTTTAGTTTCCTTTCTTTCACCATACGGTCAGTTTTAGACCCACTGGAGGGACAGGGTGTAATCGATTTCTATTTTTACCTCTGATTAGGCCATTTGCAGTGGTGTGCAGTGATATGAATATATCTTCGGGATGTGTGATAAAATTTGATTGGCCTTGAAAAATATTGCCTCATCCGTGATTGCATCAGGTTTTCATGACGACCAGACGCTATTGTCTTGACTGTCGATTAGTTGTCCTACAGCCATTGTCTGCGATGGACGTTACTCCAAGGAATCGTACGAAATTTTGGAACGCTGCACGAAGACACTGCCAAGCCTTACCAGTGAGCAAATCAAAGTACTATCGACTGGCCAGGAAACTCTCCTGATTTAAAATCAATCGAGAATCTGTGATCAATCCACAAGGAACGACTTCGTGGAATGGACATACAAAGTACTAACATCTGCACTGGGTCATGTTTCATTGGCAAAACACGAAAAGAAGTAAATAATAATTGAATTATTCGTTTTGTTTCAATTAATTTAGTTTCCTTTCTTTCACAATACAATCAGTTTTAGACCCACTGGAGTGAGAGCGTGTAATCAATTTCTATTTTTCTTCAGATTATCTCATTTGCAGTGGTGTACAGTAATGTGATTCTATTTTCCGGGTGTATGATGAAATTTGTTTGGCCTTTAGAATATTGCATCATCCGTGATTGCATCAGATTTTCATCAAAATATTGTCTCGACTGTCGATTAGATGTCCTACAGCGATTTTTTCTGCGAGGGACATTACCCCAAAGAAGCGTACGAAAATTGTAACACTGGATGAACACACTGGCAAGCCTTACCAGTGTGCAAATCAAAGTACTATAGATTGGCTTTAAAACTCTCCTGATTTAAATCCAAACGAGAATTTGGGGTCAATCTGCAAGGAACGTCTCCGTGGAATGGACATACGAAGTAGTAACAAGGGTTATGTTTCATTGGCAAAACACGAAAAGAAGTAAATAATAATTGAATTATTCTTTTTGTTTCAATTAATTTGCACAAGGGTGTAGATTTGTATAAATAGAATATCTAGTCTTTGTAAGATATCAGTTTGTAACTCAGGTTTCATTGACGTATTTTTGTAAAGAGTCTGGTTTCATTGATGTATTCTTTTTAGATATGCAGTTTGCACTGATATAGGTTTTATTGAGAATCCCATTTAGTTTATATTTTTGGTAGAAACTCACTGTTTTAAGAAATTATATTACCACGCTTGCAACTTTGTCTTGAACATTCAGGGAAACATTTTGAACAGCTACGATGATTGTTCAGTTTGTGCATGAATCATGATAGCTAAATAAATTTCTTTCTGAATTTACCGCCTTTTTTTTACTGGGTACACTACAGATAGATAGATAGATAGATAGATAGATAGATAGATAGATAGAATGGACTGAGATAGATAGATAGATAGATGAGATAGATAGATAGATAGATAGATAGATAGATAGATAGATAGATGTGAATGGACTAAGATAGATGTGAATGGACTAAGATAGATAGATAGATAGATAGATAGATAGATAGATAGATAGATAGATAGATAGATAGATAGATAGAATAAAATTAACTCGAAAATTGTACGTCATCACAATCTTATTAAAGAGCAGGAATTCAAAGATGAACATGATTGATTATTAACGTTCTCTCCACTAAATAAAGGAAGTTATAAAATTTAAATTATTAAAATTTATCAAGTATATTGCATGTGGTTCTACAAGAGGAACATCTGAGCAACAATGAAATTTTCGAGAAAATAGTCACTTATACTTAGAATCAGCAAGAGACAACTGAAATTTCTAGGGTACATAATGAGGAAAGGGGGCTTGGAAAATTTAACATTCACATGACATGCTGAAAACAAGACGAATAGCAAATAACCTACCTAACAAGCTTGTGCAAATGGTTCCCAGATCAGGGATTACTAGGAGGCGAGCCTTGCTAAGAGCTAACACGGGATACGTCCTGAATGGACATGATACATAGTAGTAGTAGTAGTAGTAGTAGTAGTAGTAGTAATAGAAGAAGAAGAAGAAGAAGAAGAAGAAGAAGAAGAAGAAGAAGATTAACAAACCTCAACAGTACAGTTGTAATAACATATCATCAGTTACTTCATTCAGTTGCGAACCTCAGCTGTAAGTTATCCTCAATTAACAAGATGGAATGTTTGCGTTGACAGATAGAGACAATAGATAAATAGATGATTGAGTGGTTGGTATTACAGAACTGGTGTCGCTTAGATAGCAAGGATACTAATTTCGCTTCCCAATTAGGACGTTGAGAACATTTTCTTTTAATGGCGCCAGACGAGAAATGATCACCTGGCCATGAAATATGGAACGGATTAGAATCCATGAATTAAATTGTCGACCTGGAAATTATTTCTACAAGCTTTGTATTACAGAATTCGTTAAAAACTTTTTTTTAAAATAATAATAATAAACAAAATAAATGACTTAAGTCGTCCATTATTTTTCAACAGATAAAAAAAGATGGCGATTTAAGAAATAAACACAGTTATTGACAATGATAAACAATATTTCCACAGTATTTCTGCCTTCTTCAAGTTATATTTTAAATTTTTGTTTCAGTTATGAAAATATATAAACCTACAAAAAATATTATAAGTCTACATTTTATTACTGATACAGTAATTGTGGCACAAGGCCGAAAAAAGTGAGGGAGACTGGTCAATGTTGGTCATCACTCGCTATCTTATATCTAGCCAATCGAATTCACGACCCCTTCATTAGTTACAATATACTCAATCACTATAAGAAATTATCCGTCTTCATTCGCTCCTTCATACACCAATATACCTCACACACACTTGGCAACTACTGGGAAAAAACACGTCATGTGTTAAAAAAAATATATATATATATATATATATATATATATATATGGATTTCATATATATATATATATATATATATATATATATATATATATTGGGATTTTATATATATATATATATTGAGATTTTATATATATATATATATATATATATATATATATATATATATATATATATATATATGTATATATTGGGATTTTTATATATATATGTATTGGGATTATATATATATATATATATATATAAATATATATTGGGATTTTATAAAAATATATATATATATATTGGGATTTATATATATATATATATATATATTGGGTTTTTTATATATATATATATATATATATATATTGGGATTTTATATATATATATATATATATATATATATTGGGATTTTATATATATATATATTGGGATTTTTTATATATATATATATATATATATATATATATATATATATATATATATATATATATATATATATATATATTGGGATTATATGTGTGTGTGTGTAAATAGAACAATGTAAATGATGTGAAGAAGTATCTAGAGTTACAAGAATAACTTTTAAAACACTGTGTTAACATTGGGGCCGTGTTCATAGTTGATGTTAAAAAAAAGTTCCAGGAAGGATAGCATCAATGCAAACGATGTTAGATAAAGTCTGTTGCTTTAGAAGGGGACTACTTCGAAGGAGATTAATTGTCGAATTGATATGTATCGTCGTTTTATTTTTATACCACTAGTCCTGATACTTTTTGATCGGATTTCGTGTGTGCATATATACATATATATATATGTGTGTGTGTGCGTCTTTGTATGTGACTTAAATTAAAATACCGGTTCTCGTACGATTGTTGAAGTTAAGCAACATCGAGCTTGGTCACTACCTGGATGGTTGACCGCTTGGGAATATCAGGTACTGTAAGCTCGGATGTGTGGATGGTGTAACGAGTAACTGCTCGGAATTGGAAAACTGAGTTCCAGTTTCATTTTAACTCACGCGCAATATCCCTTGGCAAATATATGAATGCACTTCTCTCCCCCCCCCATACACACACATAGTTATGGATTAATTATCAGCACTTGTATCAGTAAATCATTATTATCTCCAAAAAATTCTTACAATCTAACAATGTTTTCTGGATTTAAATAAACTGCAGGAGGTTGATAAACCGTAAAAAAAACAAACCCCAAACCAGTCACAATTCTCTTTGTCGCGATGAAGGCTTTTCAGCACCCCCTCGTATATATCAACATTTCATTTTAATTCTTAACCTGAAGTTCTGTCTATTCACTGTTTAGTTTATGTCCAACTTTCCCAGATGAGCCAAATTTATTCATGATTTTGGTATGTTTATCTACTTTTTTTTTTTTTTTTTTTTTAAATTCTTTTTCTGGATGCTAACATAATCAAATTTATTCCACTGGCCTGAAAATTTTGACTTACAGATTCTATGGAGGAATTACTTTGCTTTATCTTCTTCTTTTTTTTTTTTTTTTTTTTTTTTTTTTTCTAATATGGAAATTATGTCATATGCTCTCGCCTTCGACAGAATTTCTTTCTTTTTCCATCTGATAACATTTTTATGTAGGCTTTTTATTTTTAGAGAAATTTGCATGAAACACAGACAGGCAATACAAAAAGTTTTCAAACTCGATCAACCAGACCGATTCTACTTCCATGGGATTCACGTTTTTATTCGACGATAATAATAATAATAATAATAATAATAATAATAATAATAATACAACAACAACATCAACAACTAGCTGTACAGGAGAAAATTTCACGGCTTTCCAATTTGGATTTTCTAATGTATCATATTATTGAATGAATAAAGGCACCTCGACGGGGTATAATAGTTAGCAAGCTAGTCAGGCTAGAACAATTATGACTGAGTAGTGAGTTCGATCCTCACTGGGTGCCCCATACTTTCGGCCTTGTGCCACATCTAAGCTACGTTTAGAAAGAAAGGGGCACCTCGACGTAGTGTACTGGTTAGCAAGCTTGTCTCGCTGGGTTAATTAAGACTGAGTAGTGAGTTCGGTCCTCACTGGGTACCCCATACTTTCAGGCCATGTGTTACATCTAAGTGACGTTTAGAAAGAAAGGGTACCCCGATGTGGTGTACTGGTTAGCTAGCTTGTCTCGCTAGACGAATTAAGATTGAGTAGAGAGTTCGGTCCTCACTGGGTGCCCCATACTTTCGGCCTTGTGTTACATCTAAGTGACGTTTAGAAAGAAAGGGTACCCCGATGTGGTGTACTGGGCTAGCTTGTCTCGCTAGACGAATTAAGATTGAGTAGTGAGTTCGGTCCTCACTGGTGCCCCATACTTTCAGGCCTTGTGTTACATCTAATGATTTAGAAAGAAAGGGTACCCTGATGTGGTGTACTGGTTAGCTAGCTTGTCTCGCTAGACGAATTAAGATTGAGTAGAGAGTTCGGTCCTCACTGGGTGCCCCATACTTTCGGCCTTGTGTTACATCTAAGTTACGCTTAGTAATTCATCATATTATTTAATAAATAAATAAAGTCATTGCGAGTTTCACGAAATACTCGTACAAATTCCTCTATTGCAGCCTTAAATATCTGGACTTAACAAATATACCCAAATATTGCAGCAACAATCATATGTATGAATCCAGGTCATTATTTAAAGAAGAGGGTACAAATGAAAAGATTCAACAGTTTTTCTATTTCATTGAAGCAGAAGTTAATTACAGGAGAGATTTATCAACTCCTCCATCTACTCTCTATCAACCTCTCTTTCTTTCATTTTCCTACGGAAGCCAAACATTTTTTTTTCGTAGGCCTTCTCGATGTATGAAAAAAAAAAGACGTGATGTCGACCCCAACCTGAATACATACAAAAATAACATTTTCAAATGTTAGAAAGCATTTGAGTTCAATCTCGATAAGCGGATTTCTTTTAGAGTAAAGTAACACAAAACAGTTCTTTCTTTCGTTTTTTTTCTTTTTCTTTCTTTCTTTCTTTTTCTATTTCTGTCTTTCTTTTTTCTTTCTTTCTTTCTTTTTCCCTATTTCTTTCTTTTTTCTTCTCTTTTTTCTTTTTCCGTATTTCTTTTTTTCCCCCTATTTCATTCTTTTTCTTTTGTCTTTTTCCATTTCTTTCTTACTTTTTCTTTCTTTCTTTCTTTTCCCTTTGTCTTTCTTTCTTCTTCCCTATTTCATTCCTTTTTCTTTCTTCCTTTCTACCATTTCTTTCTTTCCCCTTTTTCTTTCTTTTTCCCTTTCTTTCTTTTTTCTTTTTCCCTATTTCTTTCTTTTTTCATTCTTTCTTTTTCCATTTCTTTATTTCTTTTTTCTTTCTTTCTTTCTTTTCCATTTTACTTTTTACACTTTTTTTCTTTTTTCCCTATTTTTCCTTCTTTCTTTTTTTCATTTTTTCACTGAAACCAAATAGCATCTCTGATATGTCTTTTCCGTCTTTCCACTTGAAAAAATGGAATAGTCCATCATTATTCATGAGACATTGCAAAGGCGTAACGTGTCTTGTAACTAACCAAGTAAATACGTTACGAAAGAACAACAACAACATTAATAATAATAATAATAATAATAATTCATTGGCGTAGTAGAGATTATTGTTAACGCAATGTCCTTATCGATGACTACGTGGTATGTGATACGCCAGGATTCCGTACTATTTTGAATTCAGAGTAGGTCCTTCTACTAGACTAGTTGCCATCTTCAGCTAGAGAGCCTCATCTGCCCTGCTATTTTACTCGTAGCTGGAGTGGACGGAGCCGGGATTGAATGCACCGAAGGCGTGCCGATTTCTCGTTTCGGGCCGCTAACCATTACATCCCCACACCACAAGACATCGATATAAATAGTTAAGACCAGCACGAATTTCTCGTACGTGATTTCCTGTTCCTCTCTCAGTTTAGATTGTGCATCCCTTTTTCGAAAAATAAACAAAGGAAAGAGGAGAGATCTAGGGCGAAGTGATAAAAAGCTACATCCTGTTATTTATTTTTTCTATTTGTTTCTGTAGCGACCATTTCCTAAGGAACTAGATTCCGAGAACTTCCTGATTATAAATTCGTGTTCGGCATAACATTATGACGTCACTTCCTGTTGTGTTCTTGAGCCGCTATTTTTGTCTTCAACAAGGAAGAGTTCAAGCTGGTAACAAAAACCAGGTCAACGTCTGATAACCGGAGCCTTCTTGGTATATTATGAAATACAAACGAAAATATAGCCACAAACATGTCTAAAAGTTTGATTGATTTTACTGCTGCCCAGCGATGATCTGATTATTGATTATCAATGAGATTAATCTTGGTTTGATTCTCAAAAAAAAAAAAAAAAAAAACTGGATTACTTTGTTTGTCTGGCGTAGTCTGGCAGTCCATTAACTGATACAATGAGACCCGTCATCAAGTGTGCCTCCAAAATAAACATAACGAAGATTACCTTCTTTTATCTAGATCGGCGTTTCTTAACCTTTTCCCTGGTGGAATTTTTTAAATAGTTTTTATGTCCCAGTGAACCCTTGAATTCAAAAATATTATATGACATTGTAGATATGCAGAAAGCGATTAACTTCCTTTGGTGCATGGCTCACACGACGGTCGCTTAATGACGTCACTCTATCCAGTGACCAATGCGGCAGTCAGTTTCAGGTTGTTTACAGCAGCCGAATAGACGGGCTTCTTTCTTTTAGCTCCTCCCCACGATACGGGTAGAGGCTAAATCTCCCTCCCCGGCAGCTTACAAGAGCATAGTACAGTTCCCCTTTGGGAATATAACTTTCTCAGATGCAGAAAGAAATTCCACCTCGCAGTCCTCAGTTCGGGAAAACGCGAGACTCGCTGTTTCCCGTTCGTGGAATATGTCCTCACCTGGAACATAGTAGATAAATCCGGTTCGATTGAATCTAGAGTACTAAACATGGATTCTCCAGACACAGATGTATCTCCATATTATATGTAAGACCCTTCGTTTTTGTTTCTCCTTGCACTCTGTTTAGCCATGTAGGTATATGAGATATATTATTCTCCGCATGGGACACTTTTATATATATATATATATATATATATATATATATATATAGTTTTGTATATTTACTGGTAGTATAAAAGTCTCTCTGAGAACAAAGCATATTTGTCATTCTTTTTCCTTTCAGCCATTTGGTTCCGGCAGGAACTACGGTGTCAATATATTACAGACATAATAATTCCCATAACGAGGGAAATCTCTCTTCTCTAGCTCTCTCCCGTTAAAACCATATCTATCTCTTTTATATTTTAACGGAGGTCACCTGGTAAAATAGTACACGGCCACTCGTTCTGTACTCGAGTGAGTCAGTCAATGATAAACAAATCTGCCACGGTCAGGTTAGGTCCGGTCCAGTAACCAGTGAAGACAGTTTCACACCGATGTCATATAGACATGGTTAAATACTTTACCAATGATTATTATAATTTTAAATACTTGAGTATAATAAACAAGGATTTCCCAACAATACGTTATACGAGTATTGTAAAATTACGAATATAAACTTAAACAAAATTACTCAAAAATGTATTAGTCTATTTATCATTGTTTCTCGCGGAACCCCTAACGATCTCTGACGGAAAGACACACACACACACACACATATATATATATATATATATATATATATATATATATATATATATCATACTTATTATAAAACTCAGGTTGTGTGTGTGTGTGTGTGTCTGTACGTTTATATATTGGATTGGATTTCCTACATTTTTCAACTGATTTCAACAAAACTTCACAGGACTACGTAAAATTACCTTGCAGTGGTTCTGACAGCACCAAAAATTCGAACACAATTGTTTTTGCACGAAATCAATTTGAAAACACGATAAAACACGATTCTGTCGCCAGAATGAAAGGGGGACAACTCATATCGAGTTATACTTATTATAAAACCCAGGTTGTGTGTGTGTGTGTGTGTGTGTGTGTGTGTGTGTGTGTGTGTGTGTGTGTGTGTTCGTTTATATATGGGATTGGATTTTATTTTTCAACTGATTTCAACAAAACTTCAGTTTTTTGGCAGGTAGTGTTTTATTGTCTTGCACACTTTTTTTTTTATTTTTACATTCAGAATGCTTTTAAAATTCCATTTACAAGACAATTGTTTATAATAAAATTCTATTCAATCGGTAGACTCATAACAATTGAAAACAATGCTTTTTGTTTGAGTTTGGGTTTGACCAATTCGTAAAAAAAACAAAAAAAAACTAATTAAGACGTGTGTCCGTCAACTTAAACAATAATCTTTGTCAATTTTATTTTTCAGTCTTTATGATCGTCGATACTTGATCTATTTTTATTGTTACATCCCCAGGCAATGCCGGGCTCTACTACTATATATATATATATATATATATATATATATATATATATATATATATATATTTATGAATAAAATGACAATAAGAAAACTGGTAATTGCTGACGCGTTTCGTCCAATGTGGACTTTATCAAAGCAAAATACGAAAATGAAATTAATTGAACAAAGTAACTAATAAAAACAAAAACAGAATGTACCTAGCAACTGGAATGTAGAGAAACGCTATTTTCATATTTTTAACAGAATTTTTTTTTTCTTTTTTTATTAGTTGTTGTATCCCATTGTGCGTCAGTCCAAACAACATGTTCTCTCGCATACTCCAGGCGTGCCCTTTGGTTTCGCTTTGAAATGAGAGGCTTCGAAGCTGGAATACGGGCATGCAATCCTGCATTTTTTAACCTGCGAGCAACCGTTTTCCTTGAGATCTTATTATCTATCTCTTCATTAAATTTACGGGCAATTCCAAAACGGTTTTTTGTAGATATTCTAACAATTTTTCGATCTCTTTGCGATGTTTTTGGAGGTCTGCTGGTTTTTGGTTTTGCATCTAACGTTTTATCGGTTTTATACCTGCTAATTATACGATGAACGACACTTTTAGACCTATGAAAAATATCAGAAATTTCTGAAATTGACTTTTTTTTCTTTAATGAGTTTTTATCCTTCAAAAGAGAGCGTTTTGCGTGTAGAATTTGCTTAAAAATAAAGTCCTAATGATAAATGAACTTTTGCTTATTGTTAAAAAGCTCCATCGAGTTTTTTTAACAATGTAAATTAAAAGTTTATGCAAATTATTAACATCGTTCCTTAACCTTTGTCCATTAGCTTATTTCCTTTGTTCCATTTAATCGTTATTTAAAAAAAAAACTATTATGTAAATTTTTGCAACTTTGTATAATATTTATGCATTACACCCTAATCTTTATTCGGTAAAAATTTCATTGCTAATCATGCATTACTTTTTAAGTAATACACATATTTATGTCTTTGTTGTTTCCGTTCCTTATATTATGGCCGCTACTGTATATGTGTGTGTGTGTGTGTGCGCGCGCGAACAGGTTAACGATCTAAATGCATATGCATATTGTCTCTCTTTTTCTGTCTGTGATTCACACGTCTATAAATACCCAGAGAAGACTGCTCAAAGGTTTACCTGGACGAAGAACGCGGGGAATGTTTCGTCTGTCAAGCAATAAAGATTTTGTCGTTTGACGCGAAATCAGGTCGAGTGTCAGAGGCCACTGTCACTTGTCATTCTTCGGTTATGGCGCCAAAGAATGCTGGAACTCCCTTCACTGTTCAACAAAGACGACCAAAGAACTGCACAAAGGAGGCGAGGAGATGGTGTGCTAGAACTTCGAATCCTGTGGCATTGTGTCTGATATTTAATCTTTTATAAATCTCTTCACGTTTCTCTCTCTGTGGCTCGCTATCTATCTATCTATCTATCTATCTATCTATCTATCTATCTAAATGCATCCCAGCACGAAGTACATGCTTACTCCCTTTCTTTTAAGCCAATATATATGCGTATTCTTTCTCTCTTTTTAAACATATACCTATCTACCTACATATGCAACTATTTCACAATGATTTTTTGTCCGATATTATTCCTTATGACTATATACATATTACTATTCCCGCTAAAAATAACTGAAGTTAATTCGCCATTTATTACACTAACTTTACTAATTTATTCATTTATTCTTTGTATGACTGCTTCATTGGAATATTAATTATACTGCACCAATCATAAATATATATAATATTTATATATATATAATCTACAACAATATATATATATATATATATGAAGAAATTTGAAAAAAAACAAACAAAAATCCTTAAATGTAGTTAAATGAAAGAAATGTCGACATATATATATATATATATATATATATATATATATATATATATATATATATGTATTCATACATGTTTCATTAAATAATAGACAAGTGTTGTCTATTTATTTTATGTAAATTATTTTCATAGCGTCTGATAAGCTTAATAACATTATCATTAAACGAAGAAAGAAAATCACAATATTGATACATATTTTTTAATCCAATCTAAGCTTTCAGCTTACATAAGCCATTATCAAAGATGACAATTACACTACAATATATTAAGCAATACACGGACAAGAATGTGATGATAGTCTGTTTCTGTTTACATGGAAGATTTCCACGCAACGATAAACTCGTGCATATAAGACGCTATAAAGAAGCGAAAATCGCACCGTAGCTCATGGCGTCACACATGACCACGCGAGAGTGAATTCGAGAAGTATTAAGTATGGGAAGACGTTAGTATAAACCAATGGTTTCTGTTACCAACTATAGACATTTGAGGATATTTGTGGAGATTTCATAGTTTATTTTGTTCAGGTGAGGTTTCAACTGTCTTTCCGTGTATAGCTCAATATATACATTGTACACGGAACAATAATGATAGTCTGTTTTTGCTGCATTAAAAATTTCAAAGCAACGACTAACTAGTGTATACGAGACGCAGAAGTGAAAATCGCGTCGCAGCTCGTGACGTCACACATGACCACGCGAGAGTGAAAACGAGAAGTATTAAGTATGGGAAGCTGTTGGTATAAACCAATGGCTTCTGTTATCAATTATAGGCATTTAAGAATATTTGTGGAGATTTCATAGTTTATTTTGTTCAGGTTAGGTTTCAATCGTTTTATGTCTATAGCTTCAAGAATTTTTAGTTTTTGTTTATTGTTTTCATGTTGAAGTATAGTTGTGTTTTCAACAAGGATTTTCCGGAATTGTGTGTGCGGCCAGGTATGTTGTTTTAAATGTTTATATATAAAATCGCCATATATATATATATATATATATATGTGTGTGTGTGTGTGTGTGTGTGTGTGTGTGTGTGTGTGTGTGTGTGTGCGTGTGTGTGTGTGCACAGAGTGCGATGGGCAAATTTTCATCCTTTTATATTCTTAATTTTGCACATGCGCATTGTTTGTTTTTGATTTTGTCGATTGCACAGTATAGTACGGTCAGTTGGGCACCGTCTGTGAGAAAAAGAGCACCATGATGCAATTCACTCTGCTAGAAATTTAGAAACGGCATGCACAACTGTTTGGCATTCGCACTACTAATGGTGATTACGACGGTACGGCCGCTCGGGAAACTCACTCTGATCATTCTGATAAGAAAAGAGTTCTTGAATTTGTAGAGGGCCACAGAGTCAACACGGATGCCTGCATCAAGTACTTTCAGGAGGTAGTGCTGGCCTGGGTCAAAAGAGTTGTTGCTTGAAGACCCTATGCCTGGCAACAGGACTCTGCACCATGCTACACAAGCAGGAGAATCCAGACATGGTTGTCAGAAAATTTCTTCGACTCCATCACCCCTTGCATCTGACCACCTAACTCTCCAACCTGCACCTCTTGATTATTATGTGTGGGCTGCATTACCCTTATAGATCCAAATATATAATCGATTTCAATACCTCCAAAGATGGGAAATTAATTTTAAAAAAAAGAAAAAAATAATGAAGTGTAATCAGATCTTAGGCCTTATCTGCATAACTTTCTTCAATTCCTACTAAAATGTATACAACACATAAACTCCCAAGAGGATAGAATCCAAGTAGAACTCAATGTCCAGGACAGAGTAAGAATATAATATAAAAAGGCTCAAACACTAATATTCCATGGATATAATTTATTACATTGGAATCGTAATCACGATCCAATTCATCAGACCTACAAATTCAAGCTCAAAAGCTTTTTGGAATTTTTAGGTTTGATGAATTAGTTCGTGATTACGATTTCAATGTAATAAATTATATCCATGGAATATTAGTGTTTGAGCCTTAGATAGATAGATAGATAGATAGATAAATAGATAGATAGATAGATAGATAGATAGATAGATAGATAGATAGATCGAAACCAATCTTTCTGTCTCCTGATATCGTATCGATTTGGTTCAGTCTAGTTATAGCTGATTATCATTACCCTTATAGATCCAAATATATAATCGATTTCAATCCCCCCAAAGATGGGAAATTAATTTACAAAAAAAAAAGAAAAAAGTAATGAAGTTTAATCAGATCTTAGGCCTCATCTGCATAACTTTCTTCAATTCCTACTAAAATATTTTCAGCAAAATGTGCAACACACACGCAAACACATGCACACAATAAATTCACGCCAAAGCGCACACAACATGCATACAGCTAACCTACTCTTGATAGCCGTAAACAATATACGCACTCCAAAAGAAAAGAAAATAAAAGAAAAGAAAAACATATCTTCCAATGCAAAAGCGGCTAAGGCGTCTGGAAACACAATCTTGTGATTCTGTAAGAAAATGCATCTGTAAAGCCTTGACGGATTTAAGTCCATCTGGAAGCACTTGTCTGCGATGAAGCTCACCGCTTGTTTTCGCTCCATCAAGTTCATATCAACGCCAAGAGAAATAGACAAGAGAGGAATGGCGAAGAAAGCGAATAAAATAAACTGATGCCAAGTAGTGAAGATTTTTTTTTCTTTCTTTTCTTTTCCGGGATATTTTTCGAGATAAATTTATATACGTGCTTTAAGATATTAGGCCACGTCCGGGGGGTTAATCTCTATGGATTCTGGCACCATTTAACACGGTAAGACCTGTCACATTTTAGTTGTCTAGGAGACGGACATCACCAAGTCACTTCTAATTTTCTGAGGAATACAATGATGGACCATAGCTTATTATACAGTGTAACCCGGATATATGAGACCCGGATATAAGAGAAACCCGGATATAGGAGAGTTTTTATCTGGTCCCAAATTAGAGCCCATACTTACCTAAACAAAATAGACCAAACCCGGATATAAGAGAAACCCGGATATAAGAGACTTCTTCTCCGGTCCCGCCAACTCTCTTATATCCGGGTTACACTGTATTAATAAGAGAAAAAATAACGCAGACGTAGAGAGAAAGAGAGAGAGAGAAAGAAAGAAAGCGTGAGACAGAAAAGAGAGAGAAAGATATATATAGAGAGAGAGAAACAGGAGAAAGGGAAAAAGAAAGTGAGAGAGAGAGAAAGACCAAGAGAGAGAGAACTAAAATACGAAAGAAATGTAACACAATAACAAAAAAAAATGGTCATGATTGGGTTAGTTTACTGTAAATGTGACGAAAAGGTGCTTGTTTGGGGCTTAACTATAAGCCACGTCCAGGGGTAATCTTTGTGGATTCTGCTACCATTTAACGCGGTCAGGCCTGTCGCAGTTTAGTTGTCTAGGAGACGGACATCACCAAGTCACCTCTAATATTCTGAGGAATACAATGACGGGCAATAGCTTATTATATTAATAAAAGAAAAAAGTCATAAAAACGTAGAGAGAGAGGGAAAGAGAGAGAGAGAAAGAAAGAAATAGAGAAATGGGAAATAAAGAAAGAAAGAGACAGAGAGAGAAAGAGAGACAGAGAACTTGTAAAATACGAAATAACGGACTATAGCTTATATTAATAAGAGAATAAAAGTCACAGAGACGCAGAGAGAGAGAGAGAGAGAGAGAGAGAAAGAAAGAAAGAGAAAGAGAGAAAAAGAGAGAGAAATAGGAAATAAAGAAAGAAAATAAAGAGACAAAGAGAAAAAGAGAGACAGAGAATTTCTAAAATACGAAATGACGGATCATAGCTTATTATATTAATAAGAGAAAAAAGTCATAGAGACGTAGAGAGAGAGAAAGAAGAAGAGAAAAAAGAGAAATAGAGAGAATAAGAGATAGAGAAATGGGAAATAAAGAAAGAAAAGAAAGGGACATAAAGATAAAAAGCAAGACAGGGGACTTCTAAAATAGGAAATGACAGATCATAGCTTATTTTAATAAGAGAAAGAAGTCATACAGATGTAGAGAGAGAGAGAGAGAAAGTGAAAGAGAGATAGAGAGAGGGAAAGTGAGAGAAAGAGAGAGAAAGAGAGAGAGAGAGAACTTGTAAAATACGAAAGAAATATAAGACGGTGATTCCAATTCGAATATAGGGGCAATTGCTTGTCATTGCACGAAGTTTCGCTTATTTGATCTTCGTCAATGATTTGTAAGTCCGTCCCGTTTTAAGTTCCAGCAGAAGTCAGCCATCTTTCTTTTGTCCTATCTTCCTTGATGCCATCCTTGCATGTCTTGGATGCCCTGGTGGAATCTTTCATCTTGCTCGTCACTAAAATCTTCCAAATTAAATGATATCACTGACAAACCCAAGATTCTATCACAAAGGTTCCAGGTAGACTATGTAAAGGTATTATATCTAAGGATTTTTCTTCAATCATAACTTAAAACAATACAATTACACAATCATTATCATCAAGTATTATATCTGAGGATTTTATAATGTTCGCAATTGTCACTTAGAACAATACAATTACACAATCATTATCATCAAATAGTATATCTGAGGACTTTATAATGTTCGCAATTGTAACTTAGAACAATACAATTACGCAGTCATTATCATCAAGTATTATATCTGAGGACTTTATAATGTTCTCAATTGTAACTTAAAACAATACAATTACACAATCATTATCAAGTATTATATCTGAGGATTTTATAATGTTCGCCATTGCCACTTAGAACATTACCATTACACAATCATTATCATCAAATATTATATCTGAGGACTTTATAATGTTCGCAATTGTCACTTACAATTACACAATTATTATCATCAAGTATTACATCTAAGGATTTTATAATGTTCGCAATTGTAACAGAGAATATTACAATTACACACGCGTTATCATCATGCATTATATCTAAAAACTTTATTATGGATTCAAACCTAACTTAGAACAATACAATTACACAATCATTATATCTAAGGGCTTTATAATGTTCCCAGGAGTAACTTAGGACAATACAATTACACAATCAATATCAACAGGCAATATATCTTAGGATTTTATAACGTTCCCAATCATACCTTAGAACAATATAGTTATGCAGGCATTATTATCAGACATTATATCTAAGGACATTATAATGTTCACATTCATGCCTTAGAGCAATACAATTACACAAACATTATCATCAGACATTATATCTAAGGACATTATAATGTTCACATTCATGCCTTAGAGCAATACAATTACACAAACATTATCATCAGACATTATATCTAAGGACATTATAATCTTCACACTCATGCCTTAGAACAAAACAATTTCACAGGCATTATCATCGCCATAGTGTTATTATTTAAGGGCTTTATAATGTTCCCAATCGTAACTTAGAACAATATATTTATCCAATCATTATCATCAGACATTTTTTAATATAAAAAACATGTTTCAGAAATGAAGGATTCCATAACATTCATAGAATTTTTCCGGGAAGAATTCAGAATTAATTCATGAATTGATTCATGATAAATTTGGCTATAAATTTTCATGTTCTGCTCGATTAAATGTGGATCTAGCCAGTAAAATAGGACTTGACTTTTGGTTTCAGCGTTCCAAAATTAATTTAGAAGTATAAGTGTTTTTTGTTTGTTGTTGATTCATTTGTTTTTTGGACTTATCAATCTTTTGTGGATTACTTTAAAACGAATCATATTCAAAATAGTACGATGTTGCTTACAGTATCCAGTGAAATATAAGTTGTATTAGACTAAAACATGTGTAGGCCAGTGTTACTCATAGTGTTAGAATGCTTAATTACTTAGCTGACACATTAATATTTTGTTGACTGAAACTTTTAATAAACGAATTTGCATCAACCCTATACTTCTTACCTCGCCGCTATGGCTCGGTGGCTATCAAGTCTGCTCCCGACAATCTATCAGCAAGAATAACAATTAGGATTTTCAATGGTTGACATTTACTGAGGTTATTTATTGTTGTGACCAAGTAAATGGTTAAGTAATAACAAAAACCAGGTTTGCAGATCTATCGTATATTAAACATTAAGTACAATAGAAACATATTACGACTAGTGAGAGTGTATCGAATGAACTAGCGCTCAATCTATTCACTGTTAATATTTAACAGCCGCTCCCACGAGGGATGTATGTGGCACAAGGCTGAGTTTACCGTGGGTTCTCCGAGCCAGTAGGCTCGGCAAAAAATGTTCCCGTAGAACCCGCATAAGCGGGTTCGTGTCTGTCTACCTCCCGGGACGAATCTATGCCCTTCGACACAGACTTGTCCGGGTTCTTCTCTGCTGAGGGAGACAGTTCGACAGCAGCTGCGAAAAGTCACAGCCTCGGTAGAACAATCTATTCGACTGTTAATATTTAACAGCCCCCACCCACGAGGGTTGTATATGGCACAAGACCGAGTTTACCGTGGGTTCTCCGAGCTCGTAGGCTCGACCAAAAATATTCCCGTAGAACCCGCATAAACGGGTCCGGGCCTGTCGAACTCCCCAGACGAAACTTTGCCCTTCGGCAAAGCCTCGTCCGGATTCCTCTCTGCCCAAAGGCAGGGAGTTCGACAGCAGCTGCGAAAAGTCACAGCCTCTAATCGACTGCTATATTTATCAGCCTCCCCACGAGGTAGGATGTGGCACAATACCGAGTTTAATGTGGGGTTTTTCCCATAGAGCCCATATGTAGCTGTTTCCCGATTCGAGACTCTTCCCCTCGTCTCGGGATCCTCTCTTCCACGAGGCAGAGAGTTTGACCAGCACAGCTGGAACAGATCTATTCGACTGTTATATTTACCAGCCTCCACATAAGGTAGGATGTGGCACAAGGCCGAGTTTAATGGGCATTCCGAGCCCGTAGGCTCGGCCATAAATTCCCTATAGACCCCGTATAAAACAAAAGCGGGTAGCTCTTTCTCGAGACGAGACTCTGCCCTTCGACATAGCCTCGTCTGGGGATCCTCTCTGACAGGAGACAGAAAGTTTGACCAGCACAAATGGAACAGATCTATTCGACTGCTAATATTTAACGGCCCTCACTACGAGGGATGTATGGCACAAGGCCGACTTGACCGTGGGTTCTCCGAGCCCGTAGGCTCGACCAAAAATATTCCCGTAGAACCCGCCTAAACGGGTTCAGGGCCTGTCTACCTCCCCGGACCAAACCTTGCCCTTCGGCAAACCCTCGCCCGGGTTCCTCTCTGCTGAAGGCAGAGAGTTCGACAGTAGCGAACAATCTATTCGACTTTTAATATTAAACAGCCCCCGGCACGAGGGATGTATGTGGCACAAGGCCGAGTTTACTGTGCGTTTTCCGAGCCCGTAGGATCGGCCAAAAATATTCCCTTAGAACCAGCCTAAACGGGTTCAGGGCCTGCCTACCTCCCCAGACGAAACTTTGATCTTCGGCAAAGCCTCGTCCGGGTTCCTCTCTGCTCAAGGCAGAAAGTACGACAGTAATGAACGATCTATTAGACTGTTCATCGAAGCCTTCTGTCCTACTAATCTTATAGTAGGCAGAAGAGTCTAACATAGACTCTTTAGAGGGAGGACGCCACAACATTTATATAACACGGCCTATTTTGGC